CTTATTTAATTAATTTTTTATGTCAATGAAATGGTCTTCTGATGAAAACCGATTGTAACGCATGACTAGTTTCAGTACAAAGGTGAAATTATTTTTTCCACGGAAAATCGTCAGAACCTTGTCGCTTCCTTTGAAAAATTAAAGCAAAATTATATGATACGAACTGATGATTGAAATCACCGAGAAAGAAAATTGCAGATATTCAGTATCTAGAAAACCAAAGTGGAGGAAATGACAACTTTTAATTTGGGTAATTTGCTATAACAAAGCTAATACCGCAATGAAATTCGCACTCTCGCTAACGACAGCTTATATATATCCTAATGTTGGCTCAAAAATCATCGTAATTTTTTTTCGGCCGATTTGCCGTTTAGCTTTGAAAATGACTGCATCATTCCGATGAATTAGAAACTAAAGAATCACTTACATGTTTTTTTTTCGACACCGCCCGTGTTAGTTGGACACACCAGTACGATCGCATATCCATCATTTAAACACAACATCAAAAAATATTTCCTATTAACACATTAGAGGAAGACTTTTATGGTAAATTTTAAACAAACTTACATGACTTTTCCAAAGTATTTTGAAATGCGTTTCCGAGCGTTGTTCTTCAAATCTTATCCTTTTGGAGTACAGAACCCCTTAGAAATGATAATACCCTTGCGATTTGATTTCACCTTCCTTGGTATGATTAATGTTTTGACTGACAGAGCTGAGATGGCAATAAATTTTGTAGTGAGTGTTTATTTTTCATTCAGCCAAGCTTATGAGAACTGTCAAATATGGCGGTTTATTGGGCTGGTGTCGTCTGCTTTTCGTCCTGGGAGTAAATTTTGTTTAATATTAGAATCATCGATGGTTTTTTTTTTTACTTTGACGCTCTAGATTTTATAAAACTGCGAAATTGTTTATTGAAGGAAGAGCAAATATTTTTTTAAGGGAGGTATTAGCTATGAGGCTCCTTTTGATTTTTCACCAATCAAAAAGTTCTTGGAGGTGATAAGAGATAAAAATTTTTACTTATTTTCCCATATGTGTCAGTACGAATTACAGATATGAAGTAACCACCAAAAAAACGCGCATATTATCACAATATCATCAGTACACGTCGCAAATGTGACATTTGTTCCCTTGCCCATGATTAATTTCTCTCTCCGATTACAAAAGACTAGCATTTATGAGTTAATTCGAATTTGATGGACGAGACGAGCTTGAAGAAACATCCAATATATTACGGCTTTCTTTCTTTCTTAGAAAAGAAATTTGCCATCTGCTGTTTAATTCCTCTTAGTGTCATTCACTAAAGTGGTTGTTTGCGAGGAGAATGTCGAAAACTAGGGAAAAGACGTTATCATCGTCTATCAAACGCTGACTAATGAAAATTTGTTGTGCAATATGTTTGTAAATTTGTTCCCCGAAACGTGACCACATCGAAAGCGTCATTAAATTTTGCGCAGTCACGATTTGGATTTAGAGGTAGAAATTGCAACTGTTCTGGATGATTGAAAAATATTTTGCCTACTGTATTCTTCAGATAAAAAAAAAAGATGTAATTTACATCTATACATATATAGCCTTTTTCAAATACGTTGCAATTTCAAAATAAATATATGAAATATATACACCTTTTCTTTTTCCATCCAAAAGTGACAAGAAAAGAAAAGATATGTATATTTAAAAGATATTTTCAAATTACAATGCTTTTGAAAACGGGTTTATATACATATTTATAACGATTGACAATTTCACACGCTATTTTTAGGACCCTTATAATCAATTCGAAAAAATTTGGATTAATGCTGAAAATATAAATGATCCAGGCGCTATCAGGAGCCCGTAATGGGCTCCTGGCGTTATTTAACCTAACTCATCGGTAGAAACAGAATAAAAAGACATTCCAATTTGTAAAAAAAGGTAATTACATAGTGAAAGAAATCTTCGCCTAACCTGGGGTTAGTTTAAGTTCACATTCAAAGTGTTGACTAATTTGCGGTTTTGGAAAAAAATTACTAATTTACTAGAGTGTGAGGTGCGAAATGATAACTTTTCACAGATAGCACATCTCTAATACTACCACCACCAACAGATCGATTTTCATGACTCATGCGGTTTAGAAGGTCACAGAAAATGGAGAAAGCCAAATTCTGTGTACATATTTGCTCTCTCAGTAAACGATACCGTGATGAGCTCGTTAGCTAACACAAACAGAAAACATTTGATGGAGTAAATAGTAGTATGGATGAATGATTTGGAAAAATGATGAATGTAGAATCTTTTTTTTTTCGTATGGCCTTTCACTCATCCTGCTTTCAGCCAAAAGAGTGAAAATTAATTTGTATCACAATAAACCTGACCATTAGTTAACCTCAGCAGGTGTTATTGGCAATGTTACTTCTTTGACAAGGAAAATTTCAATCGAAAGTTAGAATTTTGGGGAAATATTATTACACATAAACTCTAAGTTGTTTTGTGAGGCATGAAACTGAAATAAACTAAACCGCTTAGAAAAATCACCAATTTACACTTTCTGACCATTTTGGCGAGTTAGACTCAAAAAACCCAGCGGAAATTGGGCCAAGAACAAAATCATTCGTGAATTCGGTGTGGTTGCACCAGTCACCTTCTCTCAGTCTTGAAAGATTTCAAATTTTTGATGTGCCATCGTTTAATTAAAGCTCCCCCCTTTTTTTTGTTATGACCTTTATTTTCACCGAGCAAGCCCCACACGCTGATAATTTACATATGAAGATACATTCGACAAATTCAACCAGCTTTTGCCAGACTTACCTACGTACCACGCGAAAAAAAAATGACGCGCTCACCGCTGATCCAAAGCATTTTCTTTTGCATGGAGAAAAAAAACGGTCCTTTCGCTTGCGCTTTTTAAAAGTCTTTCAGCTCAAATGTGATCTTACGGCTTTGCCTACCATGGTTTTTTTCTGAATCACACAGGGATTTCATACTTGCACGTACATCTAGTTGAAGAAACTTACCATTGGTAAATTATAGACTGTATCTTCAATTCTAACCATTTCCATTTTGACAGGCAAAAGATTAATTCGAAACTGACTACACGTGACGCTTACCTCAATCTTAAATGCGAGGGATAAATTTGTGACAAAATCGTCTAAGCACAGATATAAAAGTATTAATAATTTTACTGTGACGTAACTGAAATTAGCGGCTTTTAAAAAGTATATTTCTCCTTGCACGATACGACTTTTAAATTATAACATTATGTCATTTTAATTCGTATATTTTAATTTACCTTCGATTATGCATCCTGAGGAAATGAACTCTCCTGAAATCGATCATTTGAGTTGTGTTTATCGAGGAATCTCCTAGTCAAGAAATTCAAGCTAACTTTCCATTTAAACTTAAAAATTTGTCAGCTTCGATTTGCAATTAAATCTTTCAAAAGAGGAAAATCTCAAAGCAGATGGTGGACACCGAAAAAAGGCAAATTTTAATCTCACTTCGAAAGTTTCAACAGCCAATTAGAATAGCGAAATGTCATAAAAGCTTCATCATTTATTGAGTTCTGCTAAGCTACCCTTTAGATTTGAATTTTTTTTACAAAAGAATACTGCATACAAAACATACACTAGTAATGAAAATGGAATAGAAAGCGTTGTATACAATGGACAGTTTACGTTCGTACGAAATCAATCATTTCCGGCGATTCTGAGATCAGTCAGGAAACTCGTCAATGGTACTGTGTGGCTGTTTAAGTAAGCGGATGTTGAAAAAGTCTCAGAATTTGATAAATGACTGCTGACCGATTTCCGACCTACGTGCAAGGCGTAGCGCAAGTTGTTTGAGTATTACATAACCAGTATTTGGTCATTGTTCAAGAGTATCCGACAAAAGAAGACTAGGACCGAGTTTTGTTTTATTTTCTCGAACATTGAACACAAAATTGGCAAAAAGAAAGAAAAAACAAAAAAACAAAAACAAAAGAAAAAACAAAAACAAAAAAACAAACAAAAAAAAAAAAAACGAAAGCGAAGACACCAGCCAGTCAAGACAGCAAAGCTTACTGACTTCGTTGACATTTTAATTAACATCTGACTGAAGGGCCACCGTGGCTAATACGAAAGAAGTGCAAAGTCACATAAATACAGATTTTCGCTGGCTACAGGAGCCCAAATGGGCTCCTGCTTGCCATCATTTCTGGATAGGGACGAGACACTCCCTTATTTGGCTTCAGCAGTTTGCGTCATTCCCCGTTCCCCTTCCTCCGTTCCTTTGGTCTTCCTGCCTCTTTATTTTCAACTTCACATTCCTCGATCCTTATACTATGATCCATTGTTCTTCGTTTTCCTTTGACTAATATTATATTGACTATTCCCCAATCCCCTCTTCCCCTCTAAACCAACGCGGCTTTGACCCACGGACCCGTCTGTGCTAACTAAAGTAGTGCCTCAGGTACAGGTCTGATATTCGCATCCTCAGCCTCCCGACCCCTCCCCCCACCCTACACCATATTTTCGAATCATTTTCGACACGGGAAGCTTTGCCGAACCTTTATGCCCAACAATTCCCCCCCCCCCAAATGTTTTTTTTCCTCTCAATCTTTGCCGGTACATGAAATATGAATTTGAAATTTCTTTCCCTGTACAAAAGTCACCTGCTGTGGTAAAAATCAACCTTCAGCGATCCATGTCAGAAAAAAAAATTGACCGCGGTTACCGTATAACTAAATTGTAAGTAAATCAGCGGGTTGTATGCATATTTTATCAAGCAAACATTGTTTTTAAAAATGTATAATCCTGAAGATATCGGAAGATGTGACATACACATCTGCCTCTTGAAAAAGGTCAAAACATGTCAGTTTGTTCCCTATTCGCTGCATTTGATTGGCTGTTTGAATGAGCGATGCCTCCCAATCGTGGTGTATGATGATATGTTTCTCGCAGGTCAGCGTCTGTGATATGCAAATGACGACACTAGACCTTACGTGGCACAGCCGGCCTCGTTCGCATGAGTGGTTGATATTTACATTCCCGGCAATCTGTTCTGGTTTGGGTTTCTTTCGCCGACGAGAAGCGCGATTTTTCGGGCGGGATTGCGATATTATTTGGGCGAGAAACCGATATGGCAAATTTTTAGACAATATTTGGAATCGCGTCCATGGAGGTGAATTCGTCGCTTTATAATTTGGAATACATCAGCGATAGTATGGAGCAGAAAGATCGCGGATCACATTGCTGTACTGGTGAGTGAGATTATGTCCTTAGTATCGCTGTGTCTTTCTCGCCGTTTAGTGCATTCTGCCGTGAAAAATGTTTCCTTTCACTACCTCAAGAATAATTGCAAGTGACCCTAACGAAAAAAAAAAAGTAGCATGTATCCTGTCGATTTTTTTGAGTACAGACATTCCACTATTAAAATGCGATCGCGAGTGTATTGAACAAGTTGATTGATCAAAAGGTTTTTGTCTGATTCTGTGTGAAATTTGATTCGAGATTCATACAAATTCAAGACATTTTTAACCCAGTGATATTATTTGATTTCTGTGTTTCTATGCATTTTCAAGGCGATCTTGAATGAGGGTAGTCAGTCAATCATGTCTTTTATCTAAGAATATTTCAACACAAAGTTCGAATATAATTTTATTGTCACCATATCATGTAAAAGCCACTCAAGGATTTGGTGATTTATATTTAAATCAACATCGTCATCGGATAAAACTGTTATGCCGTCGAGAATGTTTCTAAGAAAACAGATTATCTTTGCCGGTGGGTCAGTTAATTTATTTTCCGCGGGTTATTAGGCAAACTTGTAGACTTTTTCAGCAACACCCAAACATTTCGCTTCCGCTGCGCAAGAAAATTGCGTCACTTCCGCTTTGTGGGGAAAGTTGGAAAGCGATACCAAGGCAATAGTGATAAATACGAACATAGGCGACACACATTAAAAACTTGTTCCACCAAAGGAAAGGAAAGGAAAAACAATAACATGAACAGCAACAGTATGTGAATAAGCTACGTATAAGATTACTTTTAATCACATAAGTTTTTGTTTCGCAAAACGGTGTTAAATTGCGAATTGTTAGAGATTCCATATTGATCCGCCAAAAAATCACGGGAAATTTTATCACTCACAAAGAGTTTATCACTGATTAGGTCGAAAGACTTGTTTCAATATTACATTCATTCAGCAAACAAACTTTCTCTGCCATTATTCAGTTATTTACCAGAAGTGAAATCTCATTGGTCAAACAACGCTAATGCTCAAACTAAGTTGCATGAACTTTTAGTCTTGGTAACAAGTTAATTGTGAAAGCATCTTTTGTCATGGAATCTGAACATCCATCGGTGTTTTGTGAATCTTACCCTTTGTGTGATAATAGATGGCATAAAGCGGGTAGGTTGGAAGCTTTGGTTATGTAAACCCCTTTTTGTGCTTGGAGCGCTATGAATGTTCAGTTGTATAGCTCAGAGCAACATCAATATCTGCTCTCTTTCCAGCTTTTAGCACTTTAACAGAAAAATCCTACTTAATTTGTTCGTTATCGCCTGGTTAAGTCGCCTTCCGATTCCTTTCGCTTCCTATCCAACTCTAGTCTCGACCAACAAAAAGTAATGGTAGACTTATGGAAGTGTTGTGAAAATCGTAGTTGATGCTGGCCTCTCCCGCTTTAAGAAAACGTTCATCTCTCTTGTTATTGATCAAAGAAAACAGGAACGGAGTTTATTACCGTTGAAATGTTATTCGTAAAACTGCAAAATGAGATTTAGATTTACTGTTTTATGATTTATCATTGATCTTCACGATTACTGACTTCTTCAGAACTAATGCGCGCTAAGTAATCGTTCATCTTGTAATCGTTGCTCAAGCGTGACAAAATGAAGCTATCTTTGTACCCTACATTGCAACCAATATCACTGAAGGAACGTTTTATTTTTTTACCTTGGCCATATTATAGATCTCGAGCTGGCGGCTGAGATCGGCAAAAATCTTCTGGAACGAAACAAAGAACTGGAAGTAATGTTGAAGTCGTCACATCACTATCTCGAGGAGCAGTCCATTAAAAATGAGGTAAAGAAACTGAAATATTCCATATGCTTTTAGCGATGAAATTTGTTTGTTTTTCATTCTTGATCACGTTCTTCTATCTCTCAGATTATATTCTTACTGGCTCAATATACAGTAATCGCATAGATTGAACGCGTTTCTAATCTAAGAGGAGGGAAGCAGAGAGAGAAAAGAAAAGAAGTAACTGACTAGAGAAAGACAGTTTAGCCACCCAAAATTCGAACGGATTTATTCGCTCGAACCTTTGAATTAAGTTGATAAAATTTCCGAAAAAAATTAAAGGCCATTTTGATTTTTACCTCCGCGTAAGACTGGAAAGGAAAGAAATCTATGCTAAGCGGGGGAGCGACGGTCAAAATTTAGGAGAGGAGAGGAAATAGGTCACTCCCCCTCACCCCACCGTGCACGTCAACTCTGAATCAAACATGCCTGGTCAAATAAACGATTGCGAGCTTGTAACTTCAACTCACCCCGTTTGAAGTACACCTAAGCGGAATATTAGTACTCTTGGTTGGCGCTTCATACTAGGGAAGCTAGAGCAAGCGCAGGCGACTTAGCGACTCTGTCCCGTACCTCTCCTAGGGAAGTCACCCCCCTTCCCCCCAAGCGTTGCGTGACACTCTAAAGACTATCCCGTATGTATACGCTACTTAGGGGAGAAGACAGATTTTTCTACAATTACTTAATTTGTGTAAATGGTTAAAAGTGGTAATTAATATTTTCTTATAATAATCAATGCGCGCTCATAATATATGTAACTGTTTTGAAATCTTCAGTTTCTTTCCAAACAACTGGAAACACTGCGGGAATTGCATGATGGTCAAGTGAAGGCTTGTGAACAAATGGAATCCACTGCTTTGGAACTACAGAATACTAACAAGGAATTACAAAGTGAGACTGCGGTTATGAGAAAACGCTACCAAACGCTTGTGCAAACCGTGGACTCCTTGGAAAATAAGTGCGATGAGTACAGGGTGCAGTTAGAAGAACTCCAAATAGAAAGAATGAGACTTCAGAGGGAGATGGCCAACAGTCTGTCTCTCAAACTTACTCAGAAGGAGAATGGGTACGAGTTAGGCAGCGACAACGAGTCTGATCACACCGAAAAAGACGAGGCAGTTTTAAGTTTTAAGAAAGATATTGAAATTCTCAACGATAGGATTATGAAGTTAAAAAGACAACATTCTGTTGAGAAGCGTCGAAGGGAAGAGCTCGAGATTGAACTTTCGGATTTGATTCATGAAAACCAGACACTTGATCGAGAGCTTTGTCATTTTGCGCAACAAGCAAAATTGTGGCAAGAGCTTGAGAACGAGACCTCTTGTCTGGCTTTGTCAGTCGATAATGACTCGGCACATAATCGGCAAATATCGGAAAGCGTCGAAAATATCAGCTTGGATGACGATGACTCGTTTGTTCTTATAGATGAAGAACTGAATCGCCAAAGCAGCGCTATGTCGGATCAAAGCGAGGTTGAAGTTTTAAGTCCGTCGCATGAGGCGAAGTCTCCTCTCAAAGAGAACAGCACATCGTTTTTGTCAGAGCTTGGAAGCCAATATCACGAGCTTGTTAGGAAATACGACTCTCTGGTTGAGAGATGCAAAAGCGAAGGAATCGTTCAAGATATAGCTCCGATTCCGACAGTACAGCGTGCGATTCAAACTTCGCCACTGGACGAGAAACCCGACGTTCGATTTGAAGAAATAGGTTCACAAAATATTTCACGGCAAAACAGCTTATCAGGGAACGGAAGGGAATACAAGCAACTCTTCGCACAAATCTACTCCAAAATAGAGGAATCCAAAACTTTTAAACCGGCAGACAGAAGCGAATCTAAGGAGTGATGTGAAATGTCGAAAACTGCTCTGGAGCTTGGCTTTCCCACAAGTTAAAAGACGGTGCAAATAAGGAGTGGAACGGGTATCTTTGCGTGGTGAGATTTCATTTACACGATTTCATTTACTCGTGCCGAAAATCACTTAGCTCGGAAAAACATCTTACCATGCATGATCTATTTTACAGGAAAAAGGATGTATGCTTCCGGATAAAGCTTTAAGGTGCAACTACCTAAACTCCCTAAATTTCGTTGTAGCGAAAGTTTAAAATTTAATTCAACTGTATATACCATAAGTTAAATTGATATATCAGACCACGAAGTTTCTAATTTAGGGACAATAAGCTAATTAATTTTTTTTCTTGTTTGCCATTGTCTCGAAGATCGCAAGTTAATGGCTTATAGTGGGCAGGGAACGCTGTCAAGGTGGTCCCATCCTCCCCTCCCTGGGAGAGCTAACATTTCAACGTGTTCGTTTAGAAATTTAATTTCTTGTCTTGATACCTATAGCGCACTCTTCAGTGGCCTTCTAAAGACTCAGATTTTTGAGTGACTTCATATCGGCAAGTAGGAAACCATGGCAATCGTAAGGAACTTTCTTGATAAAATTTTATCATGCTCTGTAAGATTTCGAATTCTGGCAAATACATTTAGACACAGTGATTTGGTCTTGTGTTCTGGACGAAAGCGAAGCGTTTGCCTAGCAAGTCAATTTTAACCCCAAATTAATACAGATACCAAACAGTATCTGATTTCTTGGTGTACAAAATGTTTTTGCAATTCTGAACAAGTAAGATCTATAAACTAACGTAACATGAATGTTTTGCTAAATTTGCCGAGCAGGAGTGATTATTTTAGTACAATTACCGCCCAGTTTCGTTACTTTAAATAAACTTGAAAGAGAAATTGATACCTGTAGACTTTCCGGCAAAGTTTGAAGCGACTTGTCAGCTCCAGAAGGTCAGGCCAAGATTTCAAAACCAACATAAGAAGTATCGCAGAGCAAACTTGAGTTTTCGTGACGAATGATCAAACAACATAATGAATTTGAAATCCTAGTTTTACATGCAGACATCATTGTTGGTTTTATGGCCATTGTGTTGTTTTGTTGGCACAGTTAATTATTTTCTCATTAAATTGAATTCTTTTGTTTAAAAAATCGTTTTGTGAGCGCACTATTCATAACGTCAAAGATCTCTTGAAATCGCTGACCTTAACAATGGAGATTGCGATAAAAAATAACAAACAAGGAAATCACAGCTAGTACAAACCAATTAATATAAATGATAGGATTCTTGTCTGGAAAATATTAATTTGCATATTCGAATATAATTCAAGTGTAATAGGAAATATTAAGGAACATAATCAGACGGTGAACTGATTGGAGCACATTTCCAACGCTTAAAGCAACTTATGTCATTCTTCTTAGCCGAGACCAGGAAACTTATCTTCTTCCCATTACGGCGGTGATTCGTAATCAAGCGCCACATGTGATCAGATTGGGCCAATCACAGTTGAGGGAAATTTGGCCTGGTTTAAGGACTTCAACAAAAAGTCCTAAGTTGATTCAGAGTACTCAAAAGTGTCTTAGTGAAAAATAAAATTTTCCTTCAAAGCAAAACACAAAAACTTTTTCGACGACTCGATTTAATGGTTTCCTTTTTCTCTTCTCTCTATTAAAGCAAGAGTGTAAATAATATCTAGTATTTAACAGGATTAACGTGTGCTCAAGATCTCTTAAGATGACAATTTCTCAGTGTAAGCGTCGATCGCGTAACTGAGTTTAGTACAAAAACTCGTTGATTATCCTACAGTCACCCGAGAACATAAAAATACCTCCTCTTGTGTGATCGGGGGTGGAGGGTGTGTGATAAACCCCCTCAACTTAAAAAAAAAACGGTCACGAATAATAGCAGCCGTCTGCTTACAAGTTACCGCGCTTTTCAGGAGTCGAGTCTTTTCCTTAGGAAGCTAGAATATTGAAAATTGTAAGAAAGCCAGAACGGCATTAAAAAATGTCAACCTTTAAAGGAATAACTAAGATTTTTTTCAAAAATATTTGCTGTTTTAATAATTTCCAGTCACTACCAGTGACGAGCTATTGAATGAAAAAGTAAATTAAGAACTTGTCCGTACAAATTAGTTTGCATGCCTATCGACCTATCACAGCAAAGATATAATGTGGTTATGCTCGTGATGATTATGACAAGATAATTTTGCTCCCAATCTAAAACCGTATTTCTAACTTTATTTAACCGTTTGGTCTCTTAAAGTGGTTACCATAACAGAGTGTTATTCTATATTTTTGTTCTAATATATATGTATATATTTATAAATTTTATTTATGTTCTGTTTCCAAATAAAAAAATAAATATATCAAATGTGACTTTCAAATCTACCTGTCAATAAATTTTCTTTCACGAAATATCTCAGAGCCTAGTTGAAATTTCTGTTTATAACTTTTTATACCTCATTTATTCTTTTCGTCAAAAAAGTATCGAAAAAACGGGTCGTGTCTGATATTAGTAAAAAAAAAGACGTGAAAGGCCTTGGGTGACGTAACAACTCAACATAGTAGACGAGGGACGGGTGGGAGAGGCGACGAAAACCTATCCCTTCCCCAGACTTCTCCCTGCACTCCGTCTCTTAAAAAAAATTGGTGAAAATACTCCCTCTGAGTATTTTCTAACTTTCGCGATTCAATACGGCGCCCTGGATCAACCTCTCATTTATTTTGACAATTTAATCGCAATTATATTAAATAGACCCCTAAGAATTCAATTACTAAATATATCACGCTCATTGACGATAGTCAACACCTCACTACATAGCCCGGCAGTTTTTTCAAATTTCTCGATTCATGGAAACAACTTTCTACAGCTTCGTTTTCGCTCACCGAGAACGGCGTCTTGGTAGATTGGACAATTAGTCAAGCCACCATAAGAAGCTTTTTTAGACTTATTCCAATTTTAAGTACCCAAGGTCGGTTTGAGATCTATTGCGTTCTTAAGTGAATGGATTAAAAAGAATCGTGTATGGAGTTTTCTTCTAAAATGTGAACTTCCTCTAGGCCAATCTGACCACGATGACTCCACATTCGAAAACGAGCGATGTCTTTTCTCGTTACTATACCAACAACCTGTAACAGAGAGCGTAAAGTCAGTCAAGATATCGTGAATAAGATTCGACAATTAAGTGTTGAGAATTAAGCGATTTTTGGTCATCTGGTAACTCCTTTGTTTACTGTCGCGCCACGAGATGCTTTCACATCTAACCGCATACGCTTTCAACTATCAGGACTACCCAGCTCAGTTCGAAATGTGCCAGACGAATCACGCCGATAATTTGTTTAATCACTACACAAAGGACTTAAAGGAACTCGCTCCAACATGTAAATGCACCAAGGCCGCGTGAGCAGAAACAATTTCACGACCCCGACATTTAGCTAGTTTCCAGACCCTACTCACCTCATTGTTTTCATTTACCACAACAATATGCCTGAGTCCCAGAGCTCTGAATAACTTGAAAACACGCGAAAGGGATACATTCTGAAATAAAAGAGTAAGGACGTTATGAGGCTTGACCGTAGTTTACATTTCATATCGGCTTTACACAGCAAATGTTCTGAAAACTACGACGGTATTTAGGAAAATAGAGCTCACTTCATGCACTGTGTAGGGACTTGGGTTCATAAACGGTCTAAGATCCATGTAGCAGTCTCTCTCTTTCTTTGATATACTGACATTCTGCAAAAAAAAAGCAACTACGCATCAATTGAACAATCACGAGGAGAAATGAAATTATATCATATTTTTGAGAAATCTTTATCAGTGATCCCTCAAACCGCAATGCCTAAGACGCCAATACACGAAATGATAAAAAAACCCATAACAAAACAAAACAAAACAAAAACAAACAAAAATATAAATCCAAAAAGAGATCCTCTATTTTATGTGAACAGCTTTGTTAAATTCAAGTCGCTAGCACGATGAGCCACAGAAGCATCATGGGAACAAAAAATTAATTTCCAACACTTATGTTTGGTTTGGACGCAAAATTCTTTATAAGCTTGCCAATGGTTCGAGTTAAGTAGGTACGTCTGAAGAACCTTTAAGCAAGAGAGATAAACTCAACATCTTCACTCGAACCCATACTCACTCGGATGGGAGGAAATCGCGGATAAGCGTCTCTGAAATCTTGCAACATCAAGTTATGTTTTTTCCCTTGGCGACTATTCTCAGAGAATATCTAAAAGGAAGAAATTAAATAGAATGAGAAAAAGCGATGGATTTAAAACTTCAACCTCGCTTTGATCCGACACAGCACTGCTTTGGCGATTCAGTTCTTCATTTACAAGAACAAACGAGTCATCGTTAACCAAGCTGATATTTTCGACGCTTTCCGATATTTGCTGAGTACGTGCCGAGTCATTATCGACTGACAAAGCCAGAAAAGAGGTCTCATTCTCAAGCTCTTGCCACAATTTTGCTTGTTGCGCAAAATGACAAAGCTCCCGATCAAGTGTCAGGTTGTCGTGAATCAAATCCGAAAGTTCAACCTCGAGCTCTTCCCTTCGACGCTTCTCAACAGAATGATCTTCCTTTGGAACACTTTATTAATTTCTGGGATCTCTAATTTTGTATCCTTCTAGACATTTATGTGCTTCATTTTCTTACCTTTTGTTTAAGAAGAATAATAAGCTGGGATCTAAGTATTAAGCCGCGGAAAGTCCCGAACGGGGCCGTGTCTCTGTCTGCATTACTGGATTCCTGAAACGAAAGAACAAAGCGATGGAAAAGTGTCTTTTACCTGAATTAAACAAAGCATAAAAACAGCTCAAATAAGCATACCTCTCCTTCTCTTAATTCAAGGAAATCAACTACAGGAAACCCATTGTGGTGAGAGCTTGTGTCTTTCAATACGTCAACTATTCGTCCAACCTGACAAGATGAAAACTGGTTAAGTTAAACGCCTCAAAATTACCTCAGACAACCTCAGAGAGAGAGAGAGAGTTGAGGTAGACATCCTTTAATAACCGAAAGCTTTCCACTTCATCGTCGGGAATCAGTCACTCTTTTAGTAAAAGGCAGAAGCTAATACAAGGCTTATACAGGGCCTATGATAAAACTTCCTTGAGATTTACAAGAAATTCGTGGAGGTTACCTAAAAAAACCGCGAGCGCATTATTTTTCTCGCAAAGGTTAGGCCGTTCCATAACTGAACTACTTACTGTGACGAAACACTTTCCAAATGTAATAAAAACAAGAGGCAGTTCGGAAATGGGCTTGACAGAGGGGAGAAAAATTTCTCAGGCCAAGTTCCAAGATTAATTAAGACGAACTTTCAAAAATGAGCACAAACTAAATCCATGTTGGAGTAACCCACAGACTGGGAAATGTTAGGGAAGAAGGTGGATAATTGAACATGTTTCGCTCGTAGGATGTAAATCCAAGCTAAAGCGGTGAGCTGTGGAGAAATAATCGAACTTACCTTCTCTACTGATTTGAAGCAAACTACTTTTTGACTCATAATATCACTGAGGAGAAAATCAAACGAACATGACTTAAATAAGCCAAAATAAAAAACTTAGCTCCAAACGTATTAGCGTGTCCCGTGAAAAGTTGAGCGATCGAGCTGTCAGAACGATTTTTTTAATATCATTTCCAGCCCCGACCATTGGCGTGTGGTCGCTATTTTTGAAAAGTCACAACTTTTGGGATTGCTAAATAGCTCAATATCCTATCAGTATTTTGGAAGGTTTAGCTCTCTTGGGCTCGTAACAGACTCTAACAAGAGTATTAACCAATGAGAGCGGAATGCTTGTACCACGAGACGTTATTGAATGTCTCAACTTATTAGATTGCGTGACGTCATCGTACTTCATGATCCGCTCCCCTTAAAAGTCAACTCGATTTTCAATACAGAAATCTGATTGGTCGAGAACCCCACGTGGTACAAGCATCCTTCTAACGCAATAACTACTACACCCGCAGAAGTCTTCAATTACAGGCGTCACTAGAAGGTTCCTCAGTTCAAGCTTACCTGACATTCAATCCGACGGCCATCGATGGCGCTTCCCAGCCAAGCAAAGGGACACCTTGCAACTTGATATGGATGTCATATAAACCCTGAACAAGAGAGGGCGCGAACTTTAAGCTTCACACAGATGTCAATGTATCACGGTTAAGTTTTTCAACTACTTTGTTTATTATCGCTGGATCGGATAAGCTGCCAATCCATCAGATCGCCATTACCAAACAAAGAGTTACAAAGTTACAGCGATCAGGTAAGGGGCTCGAACCCAGGCCTATGAGAATCGTTTTTGGGGCACTTATCTTCGCATCTGCGTCTTTCACCGTGGGGGGAGAAGAGATGTTAAGGGGGAGAGAGGGGGTTACATGGGGTCAACACATGAACAGCTTCCCCAATAAAAGTCGTCAGTTCCGCAAAACTTCGGGGCCTGAAGACTTACAGCTGGTCAACTCACCTCGTTGAAGAAATCACCAACCCATTTAGCGATCATAAGAACGATCATGATGGGAATACCAAAACTTATGTTTCCAGTTGCCTCCATTAAAATAACAGTCAGACTGATCGTCATTCTGACAACACCGCCTAAATGAGAAACAGGAGAGTTATTACCGGTTACTTTGAGAGGAAAGGTCGGGGGCACATGGGCTACAAGACATTCCCCCATTGACCACGACAGGATTGCAAGAATTTATTACTTTAATTGCATCCAAACTCTCACGTTGTTCAACCATCTTGCACATATCAATCAATAGGTGAATCATTCCATTAGTCAGTGAGTCAATCGGTCAATCCTCCCTTTATAAGCTGACCTTAATTATAGAGAAAGATGTTTTTCGTCTTGTCACGAGCGTGAGGAATCGAACCTCAGACCTTCAGATTCTGAGCTCCCATGCTCTACCACTGAGCCACAGAGACTCTGTGGTGAGCAAGGCTCATTAAGAAGCTCATATATAACACGCGTCCTGCATACTGCTAAGATCAGCAATTTCGAAAGCATCATGTTTTGTAAATTGTAAGAGAAAGGTGTTTTTCACTTATGCTATTACCAAGAGTAGCAGCAGCTCCTATAAGTGCGTAACTTCCCGTATGACCCCAGTTCCCTTTTGGAAACAACTTCCTCAACGCCACTCCCCAGAGACGTCCCCAGGCTGCCCCGGTAAGAATGCAAGGCACGAAAAGGCCACTGGGAACGAACAAACCATAAGTCCAAGTGGCAAGTAAGAAGTAGATTGGAGCAAAACCAGCTAGCGTCGCCACATCATATGAAGCTGAAAAGAAAAAATGTCATAAAGTTACCTTGTGGGTGATAAATTAATTGGGAACAAGTTGCCGCACTATGTCCAACTTGAGAGAATTTAACACCCCTCCAAGCAATTGCCTGACAGGGAGGAAAGATTTCATCACGATAATTTATTTGATGAAACGAATAATTTTATAAAGCTATAACTGCCAGTTTAAGTGCGGGTACTTGCCTTTGGTGAATATAAATAAAATTACATCATACAAAATGATAATAATAACTTTGCCGGCCATAATACTTCAGATTGTTTCTTTTCTTGAAACTCAATACATACCTTTACTTTTAACGAAATTGTAAGTCTGTATTCCTTCGTTTAGCATCATTTTTGAAAACAGGGTGCACTGAAAGTAATACTTAAAACCTAGTCTGAGTTTCTACACGTTTGTCACCAAAGCTTGGCTCACCAATCTACCTAAATCCAATCAACTTCTTACAATCTGTCAATTCCTGAACTATCCCAGCCTGAAGATTATGATTAAAACATTCTCAAAACCTTTTTTACACTTACACTCTTCCAAGTGGAAAAGATTTCTGATGGACTCCTCAGGTGTGTTGAATACTAAGGTCCCCATAGAACTGTATTGACCATCTTGGCAGAAAAACTAATTGAAACAGATCATAAGTGAAAGATCATCAAGATTTACCTTCGCTCGTGTTGTCTTGTATTTGGCATATTTATTATTTGTGTTTGCTCAATGAACAAGAGCACAAATCAAAGTGCAGTAAAACACATGAGATTAAACCTTAAATTGAAGAGAATGAAGGAAACGATTGTAATCTGGAAAAGCTTATGATCATTAAACAAAATCTCTTCATTATTAGAAACGGAAATGTATAGAGAGCAGTTTTGAGAATATGCATACTGATGTTAGGGTAAGAAGGCGATATGCACCTGTAATGGTCTGGTGATGTTTGCTGCTCCTATTGGTTTGCAGTCATCATAGAAGTAGATCAACGTAAAAGCAAAAGTTGCACTCATCACAGAAACTATCATTGCTTCAACTACACGAAACCAATTCTTTCTCACATACCTGGAAATAAAATTGAGGGCAATATCACAAGTATTATACTTCTCTCATTAAATGGCTCTCTTTACTTGAAGTCTGAAATCAAAGCTAAAGGCAAGAGTGGCTACGGCTTGTCCTGGTTTTGTTGGAAAGAAATAATAAGCAGTATTTCTACTGGCTCCCATATGGGATGCTGCTGGCAATGGCAGGTGACCTCAAGGAATTTGTCAAGTTTTTACTGATACCCATTTATGCAGGTTAAGAAAAGCACTGCAACAGAAAGTGTTTTATCTATGAACACAACCAATGAACCACTTAGGGCTCAAACTACAGCTTTCACAAAGCTCTTTGTACCTACAACAACCCTTCTGAAAAAAGGGGGTAAGTTTTTGTTCATGGAAACTGTCAGTGGTACTGTGTTGGTGGGTGATATTACAAGATAACATGTTTGTCAACTGACTTGATACTGTAAACTGGCCTTCATAACAACTTCTGAAATCTGACATTTTGAATGTTTGCCCTTCATCATTCAAAGACCAAGGGTGAATGCTCAAAACATCACCATTAGAAACTTATAAAAACTCTTAGATTGACAGTAATACAGAAAGGCCAGTCAGTAAATCATCAAACAGGGAGAAATGCTTAACCCTTTAACCCCCATGAGTGACCAACACAGAATTTCTCCTTACAATATCAATACAATATCAACCAGATAAGTGATGAGAATAAAGAAAAATATCAATTTGAGGATAATTAGTTGATCCAATACTAAATTATCCGAACTGACAATATAAGAATTGTATGGTTCACAGTAAGGGGAATAACAAATTTGATCTGGGAGTTAAAGGGTTAAACCAGTAACCCAAGCTTGCAATATTTTTTATGTTACTCATGCAAAAAAAATATGTTCACTAAAGAGGATAGTCAAACATTATACCTCATTCTGAAAATACACAAACGGTGATTGATTGCATTGAAAAGTGTCCCAAGCAAGCCACCTAAGAAATGATTACAAATTGAAAACAATAAGCAAAGAAAGAAATTAAAGCTATAGTTGTAATGACAATTGGGTGCATAATACTCAGATTATCACTTTCAGTCTTTGAGTTTACATAAATTTCAAACTTATTGATTACAAGATTTTTTTCCAAGTCTGTAACCCCTTCTTGACACTTTTGAATCATTTTAACCCAATAAGAAGTAATTAAACCAAAATATATTTCACTTGTTAAAAATCTACAGTCGAGCTTCTCAGAAAGTGTGTGTGATTTTTTCATACAAAACAAAAATTCTCACCAACTATTGCCATTACACAAAACAAAGGTATCTCGTAGCTTGCATATGTTTGACCCTGGGGAACAAAAGTAGAACACTTTAGACTTTCAAATAGGCCTCCATGAAAGCATGAATGTATACTAATCAATTAAATGATCAACAGATCATAGAAATCTTTTACCCACTGGTAATTAATAATACAACCTTCTACTGGTGAAGTTAATTTCACAGTTTCTCTTCACAACTCAACAAAGAGTTCATACAGCACTTCTAATTAAGATTCACTGGTAAAGGATCAAGGGTTTCTCACTGGCCAGGTGCTCTGCATGGGAAGAAAACTTGTAGGGAAAGCTTGAGTTTGGCCAATGTTTGTGGGTCAAGTAGCATGCTGCAACATGTGCTTCTTTTAATTTTTTAGTGCTTATTAATTGCCTGTGTGATTGTTACATCTTGGAATGTCATAACTTACATCTTTTAGAAATGATTGCTGGCCTCTGGGGACTAAAATTTTATTTCCACCCACCATTTTCTGATTTTCAGTTGCAAAATGGTAACTTTGAAAATTTTTTAATGAGCTCAAACCTACTTTTAATAAGCAGTACTGTGGAAATTTACCTCAAATGAACCAAAATTGATAAGTCCAGGGTTTGAGAGATCCATAGGGGTGCCATTATAAATAGATAACAAGACATTGAGAGTGAAAGTGGAAACCATGGATGAAAAAAACATTCTCCACGTCAGGCTCTGGTTCCAAAAGCTTGCTCCTTCTTCTAAACTAAAGAGCACCCCACCTAATCAAGGGAGAGGCCAGGACTGTTAATATTCAATAGATTTACAGACATCTTGTCATTGGGTCTAGATATTTTATATTCAATAGATTTACAGATATCTTGTCATTGGGTTTGGATATTTTAAATCAATTTTGTTTTATTTGACTTACCAACAGGTGCTCCAAAAGCTGCTGACACTCCTGCAGCAGCACCACCAGAAACAAAATCTCTTTTCTCATGATCTTCCCGAAAATACTGAAACATTTTGAAGTCTTTGTTGAAGGTTGTGGATCTTCCCTGTGAAACTCCTGCTGCGACTACAGCTCCAGAATGAATCATGGGACCTTCTTTACCACAGGCCAGGCCGCCTGCCACCGAAAATACAACACCAACTGTTTTGCAGAACAAGGTCTAGGAAGAGAAAGCATTTGTTAATTGAAAAAAAGGCACGTGGACAGGTAATCATAAGACACAGGGTACCCAATCAATGATAGGAACAGAGGACAACAAATAATTAAATTAAAGAATTAACAAATTTAAGCAATTAACGCACTCTATTTCAAAATTAATGACAACAATCCAAGAATATCTCTAATCTAATAATAATAATAAGTATTAATACTAAAATTATAATAATCATTATTGATGATACATGATCATAGCAGACTAAGCAAGCTAAGAGTCTAGAAGAATGCTGTAAAAGTCTGGAGCCTTGTCCAACTGAAAATTCTTCACTTTCAAATTACATGTATTGATTGACAGTATGAGAAAAAAAAGTTCTGACAAAAGAAGTAACACCAAAAGATCTTGAAATGATCACAATTCTTTACCTTTATTCTGACAACATGTGGTACCAACACCCCATTGAGGTAACATTTGATTTGTGGAATACCACTCCCTGCTGCCACAGGCTGAAAAAAGTATTTGTAATATCATAATCATATTTTCTTAGTGAACAGAGAGGTTACATTTATTTGAATTATCAATAAAAAATGTAATTTTAAATGAAGTCTATTACATAATATGCCAGGAGACCAAGCAATAAGAAAATAACCATCATTTAGCAAAAAAATATCTCTCCTGAAAACATACATTTAATGGCTGTTTCATTAATTTTTCACAACATAACTTCTATTCCAAAAGACCCCTGGTCAGTCTCTTGATTATCACTTCACAGTAAGAGATCATATTTATGTAATATCATCAATGTTTTAACCCTTTAACTCTCAGATCAAATTTGTAATTCTCCTTACTGGCAACCATACAATTCTTATAGTGTTAGTTCAGATAATTTAGTATTGGATCAACTAATTATCCCCAAATTGATATTTTTCTTTATTCTCATCACTTATCTGGTTGATATTGTATTGATATTGTAAGGAGAAATTCTGTGTTGGTCACTCATGGGAGTTAAAGGGTTAACTCAATAAAAATCAAAAAAACCTCTGTAATATGATACTGTAAAATATCAGAAGATTTTGGCAATTACCTCTCCATAAACAACCAAGCAAGCTGCAATGCAAACCATAAGAGCATCTAGTACAACCCATAATGAGTAAGGAATGGACATACAATTTCCGCTGGTGCATTGGCTAATATCTACCATAAAGTCAAGAATTGTTTAACACAATTAAAATGGTAACATCTTGTGAACAGCAAAATTCAATAACAATCTAAAACTCCTTGAAAAATTTGAAAGTGACATATTACATAGTATGATTTTAATAATAGTCAGATTGCCAATGCTAACAACTTTTTCTGTCATAAAAAAAAGGAATTACCACCAGTAACTGTCTAACTTTTTGTTATTCATTTCCATTTGAATCCACTTTTTTTGAGTGACTTTGGGTTTGTTTGTTTGAATATTTCGTTTGCTTTCAAAAAATAAATAGAGATCATTCCACGGAAAATGTTCATGAACAATTTTTTTCAAGAGTTATGATATATAAAAAAACAAACGAGTGAGTGCAGTAAATGAGTGAGTTTTTTAATGCATTGCAACAAGTGAATAAAAATCATTCAAGCACTTTCCATGGTATAATGTTTTAATTTTGTACCTAGTGCTAAGATTATTATACACTACCTACTGACTGACACATTTCAAAGATTGGAAGCCATTTATTGCCTTCCCCTGTAAAGTATTATAATAATTGCTCTTGTTTCTGATTGGACAAACAATGTATTTTTACAGTTGTTTGTTCATTATATATGAAACAAAATATATTATAACATGTAAGTTGAAAGATTTTGCAAGCTTACAACTCACTTACTAGTTTTTTTTGTGTCAAGAAACCTGTCCAATAACTGGTAGATTTTGATTAAAATGTTTTCAGTTTCTAGCCAACCTTTCATAAGATAGATAATTTTATAAAAATAACAAGAAAAACTAAAACAAACCCATTTGATGCATGTAATAAAAAAGGATACAGTCTTTAATTACATTATATTTAAACCCTGCCAACATTATTATCAACACGTCTATAGCGAAAGCAATAACTGCAGTGACAAATCCAATGATAAACATAACGACCCATCTGTTAATGTTAACTCGAAGGCGTTCCTGAAGAAAAAAAATTTGATATTCCTTGTGACAAAATAATAGAAGAAAAATTTTTTAATATACTAACTAAAAATACACAAACAAATTTCTTGTAGACAACAGTAAACAATGCTAGATATTTGTGAAGCTATTACACAAAATATTAGAGATAGTGAGAGACTTAATAATAGGCACACATAAATATGTGAAGAAAATTAAAACAATTTGATATAGAATCAATAGCAATTGAGCCAAAAGAAAATTTTTTTTATGAACATTAATTTACATAAATTTTATCTATTTTTCTTTATCAATTCAAACAACTTAACCCTTTCAATCCCAAGATCTCCTTATTAATATTCTTCTTACTGTCTCCCGTATAGTTTTTTTTAAAATAATGTGAGCTTGCATAATTTGGTATTGGATCAAGGAACAATCCCCTTACTGATTTTTTTTCTTCATTTTCATCACTTGTCTGCTTGATATTGTATTTGCTTGATATTGTATTGAATTTTTAAAGTCTAAAGTCTGTCTTGGTCAGTTATGGGAGTTTAAGGGTTAAGACATCAAGAATGAAAACCTTTAGTTAGCCAGGATAGTATATTTGTACTCTAAAGAATACAGTATCCAGCCTTGATCCCTTTGGACATCAGAGTATAAGTTAAAGTTATAAAGGGGTAGGTTTCTAAAGAAACTGTGGTGTTGCGTCGGTGGGAGAGTATAGCAGGTAATTTAGAGTTAACAACTGAGTTGAAAATGTAAATTAGTCACTGTAAAGGGTAAAAAAGCTGACATTTCGAGCGTTAGCCCTTTGTCAGAGCGATCGCTCTGATGAAGGGCTAACACTTGAAATGTCAGCTTTTTTACCTTTGCAGTGGCTAATTTATGTTTTCAATTCAGTTGTAAACACCAAATTACCTGCATAACTTAATGTTAGCCTTTGACATATCTTGCATCAAAAGTGGTCAAGTGATTAATGAACGACTCCTTGAGACACATCCTATCATTCTAGATGTAGTAACTGCTGCCTCTTTACTTACCTCTGGGGTATAGGACTTCTGCTCTCTGAAGTAAAGTGAATTTTCAGGAGTATCATAGTCCAAGCTCTGTTAAAAACCAAACAGTTTGATAGTTATGAATTTTGTTTTGCAGATAAAGGGTTGAAGGGTGGCTAGGTTAGGGGAGGATGAAACATAAAACAACAAACAGCCCAATAACTAGAAAGAGAGAGAGAAAAAATGCTTGCCAATCCATGGAAACAGATACACCAGGAGATTCAATAAATGCCAGTTACTGGCAGCCCACTGCCACTACTAGGACCTTTTACTATTATGTCTGTTAAATGTGAATTATTCCTAAAGTTATGAACCGGCCTAAATGTCTGCCTAATGTCTGTTCAATGTGAATTATTCCTTAAGTTATGAACCAGCCTAAACATGATTTGCCCCCTAAAATATAGGTGACCTCTGAATTTTTCCTTTCATTTCATGAAAACCTCACTGGAGAAAATTTTCCCAAAACTTCAAATGGTTCAAAAGACTTTTGGTGAATCTTATTCACTGATGCTGTAATTCAAGTTATTGTGAACAAGTTCAAGGTGAGCTGAACAGAGGATTTATTACCATTACGTTCTGAAGTTAACATCTGTCTTTTACATGACAAGATATACATAAAAATCTGATGCTGCACATGTGACCATGCATCAAACAAAAAAGTGCAAATAGTAACCCCCAGTTGGTTTCATAAATTTACTCTCCCATAATGGTAAGATCTGCAGAATTTGAATTGCCTGCCAGTTCATAAAAATTTGCATTCGTCAGTGTCCTTTAAAAAATGAGATGTCCTGGATACAATTATAGTTACCGTTTCTATATAATGAGGTATAGGGGTTCAATTACCCAAATGATCATGTGAGGTTACATCACTTGATCGCCGCCCAGTTCATAATTAATAATGGTTCCAAATACTACATACCTCGTACTTTGAAGATATTTTCTGAAGACTTCCTGGTTCTGCCGCGACACCATTTTTGGTTAAACTCTGAAAGAGAAATAAGCTGACTATTCAAATAGACGTTGATAAGATTGTCGCTATAAAAACAGTAACAACGAGGTATACAATAATCGTACTGCGAGTTAGTTCTGATGAATGCCTCACCTCTCTAATCTCTCTCACTTCTCTGTACGAACTGTTGGGTTCTTCTGTGACATATCTTCGACGAGGAAGACTTGAACTTTGAATAAACGGCTACAGAATAGCAATGGTCTGTGGTTAAAACCTGAGTTTGTCAAATTGCGCATGAATATGCGTCACTTAATGTCTGGGAGTAGCGAGAAAAACTTACATCGTCCTGGGTAACGATCAGTGGGGTATTTTCGGTGTTCATTGTGCTCACGTTTTTCATTCGCTGTGACCTCTGCATGAGTGTAAAAGTGTTATTTCCCCCTGTTTATCAGGTGTTCCTCAGCTGATCAAGTATTCCATAAGAACTTGCAGTTTACAAATGGGGCCCAGTGCTTTTCTGACTCATGCTACTTCCCATGATCCACTCCTGGATTTACAACATGGCGACCAGAGTCACTATGGAGGCATTTAGACTGCTTACATCATCCAGAGCGTGTACTTATCGATTTTATGGCAGTCTCAGGTACGATCTCAAGCTGGAGCGTTAAAATTAATGCAAAAGAGTTTCATGACGTAATTGACATTTGTTTTTCTAGTTGCACGTGGTGTGTGTCCCTCCAAAGATGGCGGTTCTGTACGCGATATAATTCAACCTTAGCAGCTCCCTCGCCCGATGAATCGCCCAAGGAATATTCTGAAAAGATCACAAATATTGTGGATGAAATATCAAAACTTACACTCATAGAAGTTGCTGATTTGAATGAGCTGCTAAAGGTAAATCACTTTTCTAACCATTTTTTAATTGAATTTTTAGGGATGTTTGTAATTAATTTTGATTCTTATTAACATAATTTTCGGCGATTGCCTAGAAATACAGATTTTCATAGATTTTCATTGAGAGTTTCCTATCGTTATTGTTGTAAGTATAAAAAATGATAAAAATCTTTTATTGGTACCCTTTAATTAAACTGGCTCGAGACTCGAGCTCTTTTGGAGATTTTTTGCTTACGACAAAGGCATGGTTAATCTCAAAATGAAAAAATTAAAATAAGAGGCTGACTGTGTTCGTCCATGAGATAATCAAAGTTACATCACTTGTGAATCTCTGGCCATTAGTAAATTTTGCCATCATTTTGGAGTTTAAGTTTCATTTAAAAAATAGTTAATTTATGTGATTTGTTTACCCTCCACAAAATCAACAGCATAAAGTTCAAAGGGTAAACATTCAAATAGAACTTAAAAAGGTTATTATATACCCAGGCAACTGGCTAGCCTGTGTAGTAATCCTCTCTGTTTCATTTCATCCAAGCAGGATAAGCTCCAGTGGAGCAGGAGGGTTTTGTGGGAATGGGATGTGCTTGGGCTAAAATGAAACATTAAACACTGCTATGCAGGCCACTGACCCTTTGGGGGACAAATCTGTTGAAGTTCACTTTTATTTGGTCTTTCAGAAAACACTCAAAATAGAGGGTGCTCCAATGATGCCAATGATGGGAGCTATGCCTGTTGCAGCTGCACCAGCCCAGGTGACTTACCAAATCACATATGTCATTGTAATCTTAAATTATTGGGTAAATATTTCTAATTGAATTGGGGTTCTCTGGCTAAAAAAACCTTACCTCAGGGGTTTCCCACAGTGGAAGAAACCATTTTTATCCACAGAACTCTTAAGAATTGAAATACAGTATATTGTGTTTTGTATACTAAGTAATGTTATCCCTATTTTAATAAGTTTCATATTGTAATTATTTTCACATGACCCCACAAGCTTTGAGCTTTAAACCCTATCATGTTTAAATAAAGGATACATTATTACTTTAGTTTTTTTACTGGGGGTTAGCTCTTCAATTCCCATCAGTGACCAAGATAGAATTTCTCTCTCCAATTTGATGCAATATCAAGCTGATAAGTGATGAGAATAAAGAAAAATATTAATCAGGGGATTATTAGTGGATCCAATACTAAATTCTCCAAACTAACATCATAAGATTTGTATAGCAGTCTGTAAGGAAGATTATCAATGAGCTCTTAGTAGTGAAAGAGTTAAAATAATTTTCATTTGTTAGGAGGTAGATGCTGAACCGGAGAGACCTCCTCCAACAGAGTTCATCGTCAGGTTAACTCAGTTTGATGCTGCAAACAAAGTCAAGTTAATAAAGGAAATCAAGAATCTTGTACCAGGGCTTAACTTAGTTCAGGTGAATGGAAAGTCTCCATTATCAGTTACTTAAATATAAACACATGATTATAGATGGTAAGAGTAATATATAGATTTAGCCAAGCCTAAAAGTGGAGCTCGCATTTTTTTTTTCCTGTATGTCTCAAGGGCACAACGCCTTGTCCCGGCCAGGACTAGAACCCAGGTCGTCCGACTTGGAGCCCTAGCTCTAAACACTGGACTACTGAACAAAGCCATGGCATTGGCATGCCTGCGGTACAGTTGACCAGGCATGTTAAAAGTAGCACCTAGTACAGTCGTATTGTCATACAGTCGTACAGTCGCACAGTCGTACGGTCGTACATCCAAATTTTTTCGGCTTGATGGGTTACTACTATTTTGTATAATTATGGGGCTACACTCTGCGAGCTCCACTATTAGGTATGCCTAAAGAAATGGTAACTAATGGCAGTGTTTTCATGAAGCAGGTTGTCTTGCTTAACATTCCGAGGGTGGTTTGTTCACAGACTCAGTAAAGCAACCTAAAAGCGATGGATGAAAAAAGTGAACCAATCTGATATATGGTTAAAATTTCAATAAAATTAAACCTTTCCTTTAGTCTTGACATGTACTCAAGAATAAAACAGTGCTGAGGCAACAAATTTTTTGGTATGAAAACATTTTTCAAGGTTGTTATCAGGCCTTAACTGGAGAGTAACATGTTTTGAATTGTTTTCGAGACAGTTAAAAATTTGTTGGTTTGATGTACGCCAAACTCCTTCAAAATGACATTTTGAAGTTATTGAATTTTTTGAGCATACAATATCACTCACTTGTTCCCGAGTTCACTCATAGATTTTTTGAAGATATTGCATAGTTCAAACCATAGAAACAGAGCTGTTTAGTGCAATTACTTGAATGACTAAATAAATATTACTTGGAGCTTGTTGTGACAACTTACAACCAACCCTTTACAGGTTTCCAGATTTAACCTTTGGTTGTCTCTATGAGTTAATTTCAAGGGTCCTGGGAAACATCTCTACAATGATTATTTCATACTCTTGCAGAATTTGGTGTAATTTTTATCATCCTTTTCTTTTTAGGCCAAAAAATTTATTGATGAGCTACCAACAAATGTGAAAGAAAATGTGAGCAAAGAAGAAGCTGAAGAAGTAAAAAAGGCTTTGGAAGCTGCAGGAGGAACAGTGGAAATAGATTTTTGAAGCATTGTACAATTGGCCTGATTATTAAAATTCACTTTTCAGTAGAATTAACATTGCCCATTGCTCTCTCTCTCTCCCAACTGTTATGCTGATGTTGAAGCCAGAATAAAATATTATTAAAAGTATAAACATATTGCCATCACCTGCAACACAGCTCTTCTGTTTGTAGTTTTTCTCTCACAACTAAACATTCTAAAGAATCAAGATGGTCCACCTTAAGACCACAGGAGGGCTGTGTACAAAAGCACAGCACTTTTTGTTTTAGTATGTGAAAAACTTTACAGCTGTACATCAAAAAGCCAATTGTTACCCATATCATGGGATAGCAGTTAGATCTGAGGACAATGGGATGTTGACCTGCACATCATAGCGCAACACTGTTTAGCCTTCAAGCATTGCACTGAAGGTAAAGCTGTGCACTTTTCAGCTTGAAGCTTTGTTATTTGGATAAAAGTTTTTTTCATGCTTTTAAATAGGGGAGCAAGTAACTGGAACATGGACTGCTGATCCTCACTTCCATTGATTTGTCTTGTTTGGACAGTAAAATCATCAATTGGTATTTGTCATGTTTCAAAGGTTAAATAAAATCATTTTTTACCTTACAGCTTCCTTCCTTTGCAGTTACTGCTACTATTGAAATACACAAGGTTTCAATTAGAGCTTGCAACCAGCAAAATTGCCTTTTATATGAAACTAAATTGCCTACTATTTTCTTTCAAATTAACGACATGAGACTAAAGATTGAACTTCTATTAGCCTCCAACTTTGTGATTTTTGCTGTCTACTTTAAAACTTATTGAAACAGATGTATCTAAGAGAGAAGCTTGAACTTGAACAAGTTATTTGTCCCAATAAGTAGTTGTGACTCATTGGGTATGGGTATGAGCTTCTGTCTCAGAATGCTTGTTTTAGAAGAAAGACTGCTGTGATAACAGGTTTATAGTATTTCAACACACTATTTACTATAATCATTTTCATCATACACAGCACAACTCAGTTAATCTTGGTAACTTTACCAAAATCTTTACAAAACTGAAACTTCAATCTCCCAGTAACATAGTAGCTTGTTTTCATCTTGTACTGTTATTTTGGAAAAATTTATGGACAAATAATGTTTATGGCAATCTCTTTAGTAGTAGCGGTTTCGTTTGTGTGAAGGCGACTCCATAACAATGTCTGTTGAACATGCTGATCGTTTTCTTCCTTCCCTAACTTCAGTATCACCAAAGTTTGTGTCAGAGTGGCTTCTGCGGCGAGGACTATGATAAGAATTCAGGCCCCCACCAGCAGAGAGGTAAGCAGCTGTATTAAGTTCAGGTCGAACGGTAAAGGTATCTAGAGGTGTCCCATAGTACTGTGCATCTGTGTCTAAAATATCAGAGTCCATTCCAGATGGCAGAACCATTGAATTTGATCCTAACGTTGTACTTGAAGTGTGTCTTGCCTCATGATTCCGTCTTGGAGGTGAACGGCCAGCCAAATATGACAACAACTCCTCACGAAGAATAATTCTCTTTTTCTTCTTAGCCCAAGAAAGGACATCTTTACTGCGCTTTTGATATCCAGACTGGAAGCCCAAGTCCAAGCCGCGCTTATAAGCATCAGCACCATCTGAAAAAGAAATATCAATTACACTTTTTATTACATTGTAATCTCCACAGAGGCACTCAAATATTTGCTGAAATGACTAACTTTCAGTTACTGACTACTTTTTTCTGACCAAGCTTCTCAAATTTGTTCACTACAAGGTAAAAAAGTATCACACACTTTCTTTTTTGTTACTTGCGATGAAAATTGATATTTCCAGTTATTTTTTTAATCTGAATTCCTCACTATTAAAAAATTAACCAATTCTCAATAAGGAAAAAACATTTTTGACAAATTAAATATTTCTTTATACCCTATCAACCATAATTAAAAATCGCAATGCTCATTCAAAAACATTTTCTGAAACAGAGATACTGTTCGCAACAAATAATTAGTGGAATGCTGCATGAAAACCTTTCACATCTAATGATCCTTAAGAAGAAAAGGAACGCTGTCATTTCCGATTGCATCGTCGCTTGACACAGCCATAAGACCGTTTCAATTGGTTTTCGACGTAGCATATAATTAGACGATTATTCATTCTCAAAGTCGTTTTCAAGAAGGATTAAAATAATATCTGGAAATGCAATACTCTCAATATAAACAAAATTGACCAACTTTGCCAGATCTTCTTAAAACAAACCGGCCATAATTTCCATGCTATTTCTAAGCAATTCAAAACACATCTACTTTTCCTACCGTGAACCATAGCAAAAGAAAGTCAGATAAGAAATTACGACATTTATTGCCGCACAAAGTCCAAATATCTAACGAATTCTCGTTGTATCCACTAAAACAATCAAATTTCAAAGCTTTCCAAACACTTATTCGCGCAAGATTTCTTAGAAGTAGTAGAGACAAACAATGAAGACCGTAAGTCCTTAAAAATATACTCTCACTGCAATTCTAATTAACTTCAATTCTTGAAGGGGATCCGATGCAACTTTTGATAAATTGCGTAGCGGTAAAACCCAACTCTTGCGCTTCAAAATTGCGATTCTGTTTCAAAGCGTACGCACCAAATAGTCCTGTATAAAATACCTTTATAAAGAAGCGTTATAGTATTTGCAGTGTCTTGGAAAGGGCTCCATAAACGATCATAAGTTTGGCTCCGATTCTGTCGCTCTGCCATAGAGAGAACAATACAAGCAACATGTTAGATTTCGTCGTCGCCATAACCTGGATCTTAAGGGACTACACAACTCAAACGAATTTACCCCCAAAAGCCTAACCTTTATAAAGCTGGGCACAAGCCGTTGCTGCGTTCTGAAACAGATTCCTCAAACGCTGCAAGGCTTGTTCTTTTTCAATTGCTGATCTGTCGTCGACATCGGGTTGGGACTCGAGCTGCTCAATGCATTGTTTCTCCCAGTTTGTGAAGCCCCGGGACTCATTTCCTCCATCAAAGTCTTCTCTGTCTCTACCTTCCATTATTTAAAATAACAATATCGCTTTCAGATCTCAAAAAATCGACCAAAACGCACGAAAAACGTTACAATTCTAATCTCCACGTTCGTTTGGCCACCGCCATGTTTTCATCCAATGACGACTCTTAATAAGGAGTGGTCACAAAGCCATGAAATTTCTCGTTGAAAATGCGCGGATCATGCGCGCACGCGTTGTCAAACATCAAGGAAGTGCAATGGTGGTAGTAATCGACTCGACAAAGTCGCTAAAGATCAGCTGAATTTTGCCTCCACAAAAACTGACTAGCGAGGCGCAGATTCATCGCTTCTGCATAGGAAAATGTCGACTATGAGGTATTTAATAAATAGACTTTCCAAGGGAGCGATCTGTTGTATGCAAAGAAACATACCTTGTAAGTCTCCTGCTTTCGTAAGATCTGGAAATATCGTGTTCCGTGGAACCAGCACACAATCCGGAGGGAAATCTTCTCCTCACTCCACCCTCGCGATCTCTACAGCGTCCATGGATGGTGAAGCTGTGAAAATCAGATGGAAAGATGGAAGCATCGCAAAATTCCACCACATCTGGTTGAGGGATCATTGTCAGTGTGAACAATGTTACAACTCCGCTACTTTTCAGAAAGAATTTAACATCGTAGATGTACCCCTCGATATTAAACCAATAAACGTTTCCATTCCTGGAGAGAACTACTTAAGCGTTCAGTGGCCAGACAGCCATGAAACATGCTTTAATGCAGCATGGCTTAGACAACACTCCTACCACACAGAACAAAGTACATCAGGGTTGAAGAAACCAGACCAGATAGATCAACTGTTTTTGTGGAATAAAGACACTATTGAAACAAACGTTCACAACCCTTTTAATTTTACCAAAGTTGTCTCGAGTGATGACCAGCTTTTCACACTGTCTCAAAGCATCATAAAATATGGGTTTGCATTTGTAGAAAACACACCAACTAAAGTTGACGCTGTTGAAGAAATATCCAAGAAGTTGAGTGGCCATGCTATGGAAACACACTATGGAAAATTTTGGGAATTTTCTAATGAGGTTCTGGAGCATGCTGACACTGCTTACACAGCAAGTTACCTCCGAGGGCACACAGACAACACATACTTCTCCAATCCAGCTGGGCTTCAGATGCTGCATTGTGTGGGACATCAAGGAACAGGGGGAATGAACTCGTTAGTAGATGGATTCTTTGTGGCAGAGAAGCTGAAGAAAGATGACAGGGTTTCCTTTGATTTTCTAACCTCAACAACCATTCCTTTCCAATACAAGTCTGAGGAACTTCACTTGAAAGCCAAGGGACCAATCATAGAGCTTGACCCTTTCAATGGAACAATCTCTAGGATAAGATTCAACAACTACGACATGCAAACTCTGGACTGTTTGAATTATGAGGACGTTGCTCAATTTTACAAAGCTTTGAAAGCATTCACTGCACTTACGTGTGACCCTGAAAACCAGCTGTGGTTCAAACTCGTCCCAGGTTTGTTACTCATCATGGGTAACTGGAGAGTGCTTCATGGCAGGTCGTCATTTACTGGAAAGAGATCCATGCAAGGCTGTTATGTCAATGGTGATGACTTTTTCGGAAAGTACAGAGCTAGAGCTCTTGCTTTGAACAAAAATTGATTCTGGCAATGATGGGTAAACAAAATGTTGGCTTGAAGTAATTTCTAGGCTGGAATATGGAAAGAGCTAAGAAAAAATAGTTTGAAAAATTTCCTTTGAACAGGATTGCTGATCTAAAATATTGTCTTCAAAAGTCATGTTAGTTGAACTCTTAAAAATTTCCTTTGATCAGGGTTGCTGATCTAAAATATTGTATCCAAAAGTCATGTTAGTTGAACTCTTAAAAGTCAGGTACAAATTGTTCTCGTTGGTTTTTAAATTCTGTTTGTCTCCTGTTGTGTTGAAAAAATGTCCAAGAATTAGATACTTAACAGGTGTGATAAACTATTAATTTGAAGCAGCTGATGAGACTAATTCCTGTGTCAAGAGGTTAATTTCCAACAATTGTTGGTATATTGACAGAAGTAAACTAATCTTTTGGTTTCTGTGTTGTATATATTTAAAAAAATTATTTACCTCAGTCTTGGTGTGATAATTTTAATTTTTATGATGCTGATCCTGGAAACATACAGTCCATGCTCATTAATTGTTTCAAAACTGAAGCAATAAAGTACCATCCAACTATCAGACATTGGTGTGAATTTCTTTAATTATTTTCTGGAATCTAGCATATATTGCAGCAATATCTTTTAAGGCTAGAATTAGTAGTTATCATTAATAATTATCGGTATCTTTTACAGTGTTGTATCTAGAATTAATTTCTTGCAGTCTGATTTTCTCCCCACATCCTGAAATTAACCCATCTGTATGTGACTAAATGTTATGCCAAATTCGAGCTTTAGCTTGTCAGGAATGAACATGACTTACAGTCTTAGGGGCATATAGGGAAAGGAAGTGCCCTTGACATAGCTTTATTTGAGAGTGCGTACTGTTAAAGGGATGACCTGCCTAGTCGCCTTAGCTACTTCCATGCCACTCTAACAGTGTGTGAGAAAAACAAGCAAAGGGTGTGTTTGTTGAAAGTAGAGAACTTCATCCATGCATACAGTGCTCTAATCTCTTAATTAATATGCTAGTTCTCTATAAGATGTTATGAACTCTCCCAACTGCAGCCTCACAAGTTCATAACTCCTTTCTCTAATATTAATTAATTATTTTATGATTTCACAAATTCTAGAACCATTCTAAGCAAAATTCAAACTTAATGTTAAATCTGCTAACGTCATTGTAGTCACAGAATTGACTTTTCTTAAAAATTACAATCATTTAGAAACTGACCATGAAAAACAATAATTTCCTTTACAAGTCTCAATATACATAAATTCTCTAAAACTTTCCCAATAATGTGCCAATATTCTTACACAATTGTTTCATGAAATTTTATATTTCTGAGCTGAAATTACAGAAAACTCTGCACTGGGCAGTCAATGTACTTTCATTAATTGCAATTCATTGCCTCTACTGAATGATTTAATGTTAAATTCTTTCTTTTAGTTAACAACTTGAAGACAACTTATTCAAAGATAAATTTCTCTTAACCCTTTACCTCCCAAGATCTGTTTGTAAACTCTCTGCTCAAGCTACTCCATATTTCATTGTCAATAGATTGTGAGAATAAGGTGTTTGATTTAGATAACAACTTCTACCTGATAAGTTTGAGTATTCTCATTACCTGTTTGCTGGATAATGTATAGATAAAGTGGGGAGAAGTTACATGTTAAACACTTCTGGGAGTTTAAGGGTTAAAGTGATACCACAAGTCACTGTGACCTGGAACTGTCAACTTCAAGGTACCAATTAAAAGTCAGACTCATAATGAAATAATTAACAATGCCATCATCGTGTGTATGAGGAATTAGTTGATTATGTATTTTGCTTGGGAAATTAACAATAATTCATGCTGGGTTTTTGGTCTGAAGGCTTGACAATGGCAAGGCGAAATAAATTTATCATTCTGTAATTCTTGAAAAATACAGGTATAAAAGTTACATGCCAAACAAAACGAAAATACAGAATAAATTGCTCACTGAAACCTTTCAATAAGATTAAATTTTTGAGTCACTCATTGGCCCTGGATGACTCAAAGCTGCATTTCTTTTCTGAACAGCATCCAGAATTTTTCTTCTTGGCCCAAGAGGGAGGCCAATGTCTTTGAGGTCATCATCAGAACACAGAGATAAAGTACTTAAATCAATTCTTTCATTGATCAAAGATGTAGTGAACTGTTCCAAGTTCAGTGAAGCCATAAATGTGACAAGGGTTTTATTTCTTGTGTTTTCTGTTTCAATGTCCGACAGAGAGAATGCATCTTCAAGCTCAATAGATTTCAAACTGCGAATGTCATTTAATGAGGAACTCAGCTGACTACTTGAGCTTAACTGACTGCTGAGGCTAGTTCGGCTTGTCATACTGCCATTCATCATCTTAGTTGGATTCTTTGGAACATAATGAACATGTGTTGTAACATTGCCTTTGTCGTCAAACTTTTTGACCACATGTCCAAAGGACAGGTCTGAGTAATCAAGTTCATAGGGATCAACAGAATCTGAAGCTAAACTCTGGTGTTGATTCTCAATTGCCTTTGACTCAAACTGATCCAAAAAAGAAGGTGTACTCTGAGAAAAGCTCCTGACAAGGCCGGCATCTTCTAATGACCTGCGATTAATAATTTGTGGCTCATCTTTTGAGCTGCGTAGTGAGCTAAATTTTGAGCGAAAGACTCCCATCATTCTACCTTTTTTAGAACCAAATTGAAAGGTCTCTGAAGAGTGGGACTTCATGCTTTTCTTGTCATTTGATTTCTCTTGCTCTGGAAAGTGGCCAACATTGGTTAATTGTGAGAACTGCTTCTCAGCATTTTTGTGAGGGATAGACAATCCATTTCCAGTCCATGTATCTTTCTGGTCATCATTCATTGACTTGCTTCTTACTCTAGTTTCCTTTGCAACTCTTCTTTCGTAAGCATTATCTCGGCGTTGCACGTCCTTATCGCGCTTTCTTATCCTTTTCATCATATCTTTTTTAGCTTGTCTCCTGTGCCTGTCTACTTCTTTCTTATTGCGCATCATGTGGATAGCAATAAGTCCATCTAAATGTCTTACGCATTCCATACGCCCATGAAGGGCAGCTTCCTCTAATGGTGTCCGTCCCTCATTGTCCAGAGCCCAGATGTCTGCACCAAAGTTTGTTAGGAAACTCAAACAGTTGAGTTGTCCACAGCTGGCAGCCAGGTGCACAGCACTTGCCCCATCCTGGTTTGCTCTGTCAGGCTCTCCTCTGAAAATCAGGGTTCAATTTTATCAGTTAGCCAGAGTAAAGGGCTCACCATCTTAGGTAAGGTATCCTAGGTTTATCCCACTTTTTTGTCTTGGATGGGTGCTTTTAGCATTTCATGATTACCTTTTCTTCTTGACTATCACCAATACCCATTTGTACATGGAGAGGCGCATCATGAAATTGAATGTTTTGCAAAAAGCCAGCCAGGGGGCAAACTCGAACCTACTTGTACCACATTATCATTATCGTTATCGTTATTGTTATAGTTATCGTTATTATTACTATCATTATTATTATTGTTAATGTCATTTCCTGCCACTTAATTGAGAAATATGGTTCTGATGGCAAGGCTGTCTTGTTTTAAAAATGACCAGAAGTTGAGGTGGGCCAACAGGTCTCCTCATTTAATTTCATTTATCTGGCATGTTTCAAAAATCATGGAAGACTGTAGCCTCTGTTTTAAACTATGATCTGTGTTGATCTCAGTGCTTCAAATTGTACTCAGGAGTGATACCAGTAGAACTGGTAACAAGAGAAAAATTTGGTAAAATGATGATGGATACAAAATCTGATCGACAGGCAACTATTGCCTTGGGAACTTATCAACAAATAGAGCTTTTAAAATTTGAAGACAACAAAAAAAAAGTATGTACTTCTCATATGGGATAAAAATTTCCATGAAAACCAAATATTTAGTTAGAAACAAACAATGGAAAACAGGAAGTCTTTACATTCCTTTCAAAATTGCTAAATTGGGAGATATACAGTTTTGTGAGTAAAGTTAGAACTTGACCCAAAGAACTACACGAAGTTTAATTTGTCTCAATTTTTATCTGAAATGTGATTTACTCGTAACTCTTCGTTATTTAAACCAAATCCTATCACTTAATTTGAAATTTACTTGCGTGAAAAACAAATGAAAACTCTTAGAGAAAAATTCCAAAGTTTGGAGCATGGCATTTGAGTAACAAATTATTGAATTTATGGAAACGATGACAAACTCTAGCCATTGTTGTCAATAATGTTATCCTCAAAAATTTACACACGGATGAATAATCAAGTCGTTGTTCACTCGTTAAATCACCAAACTAAAAATCTCGCGGAGTGTTTTCACTCTTCATCTAATGACTTCGCACATTTACTTTCCTAAACATGCACACAATTGGATTTTAAAAATTAACAGAAAAGAAAATATTGCGTGAATGGACACGGATAGAAAATCTTTGTCTGATATTCTTCTAGTGCTTTTTAATTTGCCTGCACACAGAAACTGCAAATCAGTAGCAGAAGCGTAACTCGATGAGATTTAAATGATTACAACTTTTCATATTTTGGTACAAATATTATAAACAACACCGCAAATTTCACAAGCTTCCATTCGGCAGGTGCTAAGCTTAAGCTCTTAATTTCCCTTGATCCCAAATTCTTCAAACAAAAAAAAATTATCACGGTCAAAGAAACCCCATTCCGTCTTTTGTGCTAGTGTTACAATATTTCGTTAAGTGAATCCTTTCCGAAAATTAGGAACGCCTAATTTAGTTAGACCTACCCCTTTCCGACCAGCAATCTAAGGGCTTCGACATTTCCACAACTAGCTGCATAGTGTACTGGAGTCATTCCGTCTTCGTCCCTTCGGTTCGCATCTCGTTTCGTGGCCGTTTTCAGGAGTTCGAAAACTCCATCACGGGCGGCTTTATGGTACAAATCACCCATGACTTCAATCGATCACCACGAGGAGCGAACGTTTCATCGCATCTTCCCGCGCGTTTCGGTAATATAAGACCGCAGGGAAAATATCAGTTTACGCAAATGACCATCTGTAAGTTTGAGGACTGCGTTTTGTAGGAAACCGCACAGAACGAATATCAGTTATCGCCAAAGTGTTTTTATCGACTCCCCTGCTGGCTGGAGGTAAAATCCAATTAATCCCCTAATGCTTTGTGGGCTTAGGACTTGGAATGAAGATAAAGGGAATAGAAATGAAGAATGAAAATTTCTTCTTTTCAAATGTCTTTTTTTCCTTTTTTGATAAATCGGTTTAGTTTTTAATGTCTTGCTAGAATTACTACTGTTTCCTTTCTACTCGTTTCACTTATTCACTCTGTCACAGGTCCAAGATTGTCCACTTATGTAAAATGGATTACAAAATATTTTAATTTACTAATCCATGCTTCTGAGTCTTATATGCGGCAGGAAAATAAGCGTATCGAGTGTCATACGAAACACCTCCTTGATACTCATGGATTCGGGAAACGCCTAATTATCGTAAAGAAAAACAAACATTTCCAATTCGAAATTATTCATGGAAGATTTTGTCAGAATTTTCGCCAACTTTGACTAACTTGGCCGTTCTGCCTACACCCATTAACGTAAATGAAAGAAAAACAGTGTATGTCCCCTGCCGCCATTAACCTAATGTAAATTTGAAACAATAGACCTGCCAAGGCCACAGGGCACTCGTAAACCTATTCTTGAACCTAGCTGGCCCATGCTATTACGTTTTTAGGGGAATACTACACTGATAACGACGCCTCACATTGTATAGGCATAGCATTGGATGGTCCTTTTTTGTCGTCCACCCTAACAGCAGACATGCCTTAAGGGTGATCTTCATTAAATCTTCCTAAGCGTACTGTCTCTTTAACCTGAAGCCTCTAATAAGTGTTCAGAAAAACATGCACGTTATTGATGACTGCAACTGTTAGAATTGATATCGTCAGGATTTAATTTGTATTTGATGTCAAAAGTTGTAACCTAAGGTGGTATAACGCGATAAGATTTGCAGTTCCTAGCGAGGCGCTTGCGAACTTCTGGATCTCAACTCTCATTAGTAATAAATTGACTAGTAGACGTCTCTAGATACACATCAAATATTTAAATGGCTCTTTAATACGTACGATTAATAACAAATGAGAGAAAATAGCAGTGTATTTTTTTTTAACTGAAAGAATAATTTTAAGATATTATTTTTGTAGTTTGCGAATTTTTTTAAATTCCTTTTCCGATGTTAACAAAGTTGCAATTAAAGTGAAGTGGCCGTAAAGAACAGTGTAAGAAAAGAAAAAAGAAAAGAAAATATTAACTGATCAACACAGCTAAGATACGTTCAAGGAATTGCGTATCAGCTTTCATATGCAAAGTTGTTTTTCTACATTTAAATTAACTTCAAGTTCACAGAGCAAATTTCCAAATTGTGGGGGCTGTTACTCTTGTTATGTCTCCGGTAGCCTTTCTTGTATTGACAAAAAGCAATCGGTAGTGAAAGATGTCGTGTGCTGTTTATAGTCAGTGTAGCTGGGTGGTCTTGGTTCTTTTGGTGTGATTGCCAACTTGCATATCTAATATCTCGGCCAGTTCGCTCGCTGTTAGCGAAGATTGTGTACCTCCCTCAACAATTACAACCTTCGTTACGAGATCTGTGGGAAGAAGAGTTCGCCTCTTCGCCTTCGCTGCAGCATTTTCCTTCGGGTAACTGATGATATATTCTTTGGTCACCTGAACTTGTTTCTGCATCATGGGGCTGCTGCCAGGAGAAAATCCGTTTCCACCAAGAAAAATTGCGGATTCTCTTGATTGGATGAACACTGACTTCCAAGTCCCCTAACAATTTAGGATCTGTAGGGCGTTTCAAGACAAAAAGTGGCGACCTTCACCTCAACTCGTGTATTATTTGATGGGACACGGGGGGCGTAATTTAACTGATCTGATTGGCTAACGACCAAATGGCACCTGTTACTTCACGTTGTGATATCATACGGGCCGTTCCCATGGTTTTCATTTTCAAATCATTTCCTACTGGTGTTTTCGACATAATATACATCGGTAATGAACCAAATTCTTGGTTTCAGCCCATCCCCAACAAAACAACAATCAGCTGGCTTATAGAAAGCTGACTACAATAAATCATCGAGAATAGAAACCTAAACAAACATAACTTCAATAAATCGTGGTGTTATCGCCTTAACTTTCCTTTGATCGAAAACATTTTTACGGTACACAGAAAGTTAAATGGATCTGTTTAATCAATGAATTTGAAGAATCAAATAGATGCATATATCGTATAACTTTATAACTTAAAAATCACTTTTGACACTTCCACCCAAAACACTCACTCGCACAAGAACGCATAAAATCTTTGTCTTCTACAAAAAAAATTCTATGCAATGTAATAGCTTTGAAAACCTTACTACCTTCTTATCCTCAAAGGAACACTGTTCTTGCGAACAAACTTGACGACTGCGAGAAAATTTTCTTTCGTTAAACAAGGAAAATCAGAACACACACACCAAAAAGAATACAAGAAATCCTACAAGAACTTCTTCGTTTAAAAAGTGTCCGCATCAGATCTACTGCTGAATACAGCGGTTTTGGGCATAAAAAGTGAAGAAAGCGAAGACCGTCTAAGAAAGAGATTTGATGGAGACTCTATTCGTTGTGTACAGTCAGCGGTGGATACTCAGTCTCATCGTCCAATCTTAGGTTTCCAGGCCCTTGCAGGTCACCAAAGGCCGTCATGGCTTGGGTGGGGTCACATACACCTGTTGTTGGAGAATTCTGACTGTTTTGTGATGATGCTCGAACTCTCGTATCTTGAGATTCTTCTTCTTTGTTCGTTGGAGATGGGTTAAGTTCGGCGGAAGTGCTTTCCTCTTCCTATTCAAAACAACACAAAACCATTTTACAGAAGAATAATTAGCTATGAGCTTATATTTTTACAAAAATCTTCCATAAAATAAAGATTTTTTAACTCAGATACCATTAAATTACATGATACTTTCTTACTATTATTTCTAATGAAAAAACTGAGAAGTGTTACGAATAAAAATAGAATAAACATAATTTTAATTTTGTTCTTTTCACAGACGAACTTTCTTCCACTGCTGTCAAAGCTTGGACTCCTACGTATGAACGAAGTGCTTTAGTGTTCAGCTTTGATAAAGAAAAACAACAACAAAGAAAGAAACACGAAAAACAACAACTTAGTGCGTCACTCTCTTAGGAGATACTTACCGATGGTTTTTCAAGGCCTTCAGTTTGACCAATTAACCTACAAAACAACGACACAAAGGAACCATTTAAAAGCAGGTTAAAATGAATTATCTTCATGGCAATCGTCTTAAAAGCATTATTATAAGTTAAAAGGTTCAATACTGCATGTAACCTGCTAACGAGGACGAGGATTCTTCCGGTCTCGTCTGCAGTAAACGACTAGGAACATTTTTTCCTTCCTGTATAGAATGCTAGTCAGTCCATTGCAAATGACAGCCTCTTGTTAGTCTTGTTATGCTTATAGGTGGAGAGAGAGACTAGGCGAGAGTGTTCGTGTCACCAGCACCCAGGCCATGAATCAATCCCACACCTCTGTATGCAAAGCCCGAAGCGCCATTTTTAAACCAAGATCAACAGTAGGTTCAAGCTTTCATGAGACAAGTAGAACTCGAGAACCTACTAACACCCACCAGCACGATAGGACACCATACTTCATTTTATTCCATCATAACCCAACAACTATGGCAAGTGCTATCACTTGATAAACAAATTGTGTAGTTCACCTATGTTGTTTGAGCAGCGTACAGTCCCCTCCCTCCTCAGGGTCGATATTGTAGATGTAAAGATAACCGTCCGCACTGGACACCAACAAGCGTGGAAGCTTGCCAATCCTGTGGGGGATAGGGAGAATTACATTTGCTACTACACAGGATAATTGAGCGTTTTCCTGGTATTTAATTCTTCAAACGTTTTATTCAGAAAAAAACAATTTCATAAACAAATGGGATTTATTTGAAACACTTACATTGCTATGGCGCAAACGTTTCTAAGACCTGATTTGAGGAAAAGAAAGAACTGAATTAACTCCAAAAATTACTCAACGAAGAAGAATGAACACAAACTTAACATTCACAACCCTCGATTGGCTTCGGAGACGTCTATCAGGTAGCTAGGAGCAAAATAACTTTACTTTCTCAGATGTAATATGAGAAGTATAATATTTCTGCAAAGGTTCCTCAACAGACAGCGCCGGGGCCATTGGAAAAGTAAGAGGTAGCCCGCGAAAAGTTGGTTATCAGCCATGCAGTGCCACTATGGGTCGTCCTCTTCTAACAGAAGTACTCTTGGACCAAGTACGGAACATGGAGTAATTTCATTTAGACATAAAGGGGTGCCGTATGTACCTTTTTTTGGATTGGGCATCAGTTACGAAGAATGCATTATAATAGGAACGAAGTTCAAGTTGTATTTGATGTGGAGTCTGCCACAGTGTGTTAATTCTGTGTTGTTGTTGTTTTTTTTTTTTTACTTCCATACCTGCTTGTGGTAATCGAACACTGGCAAAAGCTCTCTCTTGGTTGAACACTTCTGCAACCTGTATAATGTGAAAGTAAGTGAACTTGCAACAAACATCATTTTGCTCGTTTTAATTGAGAGGTTGCGTCAACATATGCTTCAATCACTTCTGACCACTGCCTTCAGTCTCTCACTCCATACCCGTTACACACATTCTACCGCATGATCAAGTTGTCCAAAACTTTACTATCTCGCATACTCACATGTACTGGGAGATAGCTGCTGGGGGAGAGCGCTTTTCCAAAGTAACCCATCAAACCGCTTGCCTCGTCCGGAGGCCTGAAGTCAAATTATACAAAGAGACAAAAATGCAATGTAGTTAGTGTGCTAGCTTATATTAAAAGTCCTTCCGCGAAAAAGGACGATTTTTAATCGCGCTTGTTTTAAGTTTCACTACTAAAATATCTTTTTAAAAATATCCGTCAGCTTTCTTGGAATCTTAACAGGGCGGGATCTTAATTTCGTGAGAGGGGGAAAGGTTCAAAGTAATAGTGTGGACATACTGGGAGTTGCAGTCAGCAGGGTAAACTCAGTCCAGGTAAACGTTCTAATCGGCAGCGAT